CATCAGATGGCCAAAGAATTGGAGCCTCAGGTTCAGGATCTGTCCTTCCAGTGAGCACTCAGGGTTGCAATTCTCAATTCCTATTGAGCAGGGCGGTTGGACTCAATAGCCTTATAGGCCCCTCTCAAATCTATTTCATCTCATATTGAAGGGGAGGGGAGACTGGAGGGGCACGGGGAGTAGCTATTGTGTATAGAAATGCTCTGGAGGTTACTAGGCACTCTATGGTGGCGAAGCTGGGTCTGGAGGCCCTCCACATGTCGATTTGGGCCAGGGATGATATTGGGATCTTGCTTGGCCTGTGTCCTGGTTTAACCAGGAGGCTGTGAGCTATGAAGCAAAACAGGAGAAGGCTAGAGTGCAAGTGGAGATGGAACCTGACAGTTTATAATCGGAAAGCTGTTTGGGTCACAACTAACCATTACCTTGCTAAGGTGAGAGCTGCTAGTCGAATTCACTTCACTAATCAGATAAGCGAAGCTTCAAATCAGCAGGCAGAATTTTTCCGTATAGTTCGCGATCAATCCAGAATTGATCTAAGTGATGGGCCTCCTTCTAGTATTTCACCAGAACAATTTACAGCATTTTTAAAATCTAAAGTGGAGGCCATCTGACGGGAGCCCTCTCCTTTTTTGAATAAAGTGGATCGAGCAGAGATGTCCAGTGCTCCACCCTGCCCGGTTGACTTAATTTCTTTCAGCCTGTGATACCAGATATGGTGGACAAAGCGCTTGATCGCTGTCGAGCTACCACTTCCTCCCTTGACCCTTGTCCGGCCTGGCTAATCAAAGCAGCCTATAACAACGGAATGAGCCACAGTAATAATTAATGCGTCTCTCCAGGAAGGCAAGGTTCCCATTGCCCTCAAGGAGACACTCATTAGGTCCATTAGGAAGAAACCAAATTTGGCAGCAGTCGATATTGGCAATTACAAGCCCGTCTCCAATGTTTCTTTCCTTAGTAAAGTGGTGGAGAAGGTGGTGGCCAACCAACTTCAGGCTCTTTTGGATGAAACAAACGTCCTGGATCTGTTCCAGTTGGGCTTCAGGCTGTGCCATGGTACAAAAAGGGCACTGGTCAGCCTGTATGATGACCTGTTGAGGGAGGCTGACAGGAGCAAAATGTCTTTGTTGGTCCTCCTCAATATCTTAGCCGCCTTCAATACTGTCAACCACAGTATCCTCCTGGGGAGGCTCTCCGAGTTGGGAATCGGTGGTCTGGTGCTTGCCTGGCTCCGATCCTTCTTGGAGGACCATCCTCAGAGAGTACAGCTTGGGAAGAGTGTTTCGGCCCTGTGGAGTCTCAATTGTGGGGTTCTGCAGGCTTCAATTACCCCCCAATGCTGTCTAATATCTATATGAGGCCGCCTGGTGGGGTCATCAGGGGGTGTGGGGCTTCGTGCCATTAATATGCTGAAGAAACTCAGCTCTACATTTCCTTTTCTCCAACCACAGTGGATGCCATTCTGTCCCTTCAGCGCTGTCTGGATGCTGTACAACAATGGATGCAGGAGAATAGACTGAGGCTGAACCCGGACAAGACAGAGATCCTGAGGGTCGGTGGCCCCACCATCAGTGGTCTGGGAAACTCCCTCTCTTTTGGGGGGTGACTCTCACCTCAAAGAGTGAGGTTTGCAGCGTGGGGGTTAATCTGGATCTGGTGCACACCATGGAAACCCAGGTGGCGTCAGTGGTCTGCTCCGCCTACTTCCATCTGTGGTGGATTGCCCAGCTGCGTCCCTATCTTGATGTTGTGGCACTCACCACTCTGGTCCATACGCTTGTAATCTCGAGATTGTTGTTGTTTAGTCATTTAGTCGTGTCCGACTCTTCGTGACCCCATGGACCACAGCACGCCAGGCTGTCCTGTCTTCCACTGCCTCCTGGAGCTGTGCCAAATTCATGTTGGCCGCTTCAATGACACTGCCCAACCATCTCATCCTCTGTCGTCCCCTTCGCCTCTTGCCTTCACACTTTCCCAACATCAGGGTCTTTTGCAGGGAGTCTTCTCTTCTCATGAGATGGCAAAAGTATTGGAGCCTCAGCTTCAGGATCTGTCCTTCCAATGAGCACTCAGGGTTGATTTCCTTTAGAATGGATAGGTTTGTTCTCCTTGCAGTCCAGGGGACTCTCAAGAGCCTCCTCCAGCACCACAATTCAAAAGCATCAATTCTTCGTCGGTCAGCTTTCTTTAGGGTCCAGCTCTCACTTCTGTACATCACTACAGGAAAAACCATAGCTTTGACTATTCGGACTTTTGTTGGCAAGATGTCTCTGCTTTTTAAGATGCTGTCGAGGTTTGTCATTGCTTTCCTCCCAAGAAGCAGGTGTCTTTTAATTTCGTGGCTGCTGTCACCATCTGCAGTGATCATGGAGCCCAAGACAGTAAAATCTGTCACTACCTCCATATCTTCCCCTTCTATTTGCCAGGACGTAATGGGACCAATAGCCATGATCTTAGTTTTTTTGAGCTTCAGACCATTTTTTTGAGCTCTCCTCTTTCACCCTCATTACAAGGTTCCTTAATTCCTCCTCACTTTCTGCCATCAGAGTGGTATCATCTGCATATCTGAGGTTGTTGATATTTCTTCCGGCTATCTTAATTCCGGTTTGGGATTCCTCCAGTCCGGCCTTTCGCATGATGTATTCTGCATATAAGTTAAATAAGCAGGGGGACAATATACAGCCTTGTCGTACTCCTTTCCCAATTTTGAACCAATCAGTGTTTCCGTATCCAGTTCTAACTGTTGCTTCCTGTCCCACATATAGGTTTCTCAGGAGATAGATAAGATGGTCAGGCACTCCTATTTCTTTAAGGACTTGCCATAGTTTGTTGTGGTCAACACAGTCAAAGGCTTTTGCATAGTCAATGAAGCAGAAGTAGATGTTTTTCTGGAACTCGAGATTAGACCAGTGCAATGTACTCTACATGGGGCTACCTTTGAGATTGATGCAGAAGCTTCAAATAGTGCAGAATGCAGCAGCTAGATTTCTTAGTGGGATGAGAAAACATCAGCATATTTCTCCCACTCTGGCCTCCTTGCATTGGCTGCCTGTTAGTTTCTGCACTGATATCAAAGTGTTAATGATGACTGTAGCATTCCCCATTTATTAGATCTATGGTTCTTGTATTATGTAATGGTTTATGAATATTCATATTACTATGAGGTGGAGCCGAGAGAGATGCTATAAGAGGCGGAGTCAAATAGTCAGAGAGCAGATTAAGAGAGATTAAGTCAGATTGGGTCAGTGAGAGTCGAGTCGGGAAGTGTAATAGAATGTGTAGTTTAGAAAATTCTGAGGAGTGATTAGCTACTGAAGATATAAATGAATCAATCTCTGTAATCAATAAACCAAAGTTTTATTTAAAAGAACTTGAAGTGTGGACCTGAATCTTTCTGAAGTAAATGGTGATTTAGAGGTCACCTGGTGGCAGCAAGTGTAAAGAAGAGAGTGTTTGCCTTTGTGTGCTCTGGGGCTTGAAGGTCAAGCAAGGGGCACAAGAGTGGACGCCACAATGACATATAAAGCCCTAAATGGTTTAGGACCTCGATATATAGCGGAACACCTCCTCCCACATAGATCTACTCGAATCACTCGCTCTAGCCAGGAGGGGCTGTTGACGGGCCTAATGCCGAGGGAGGCCCGGAAAGAAAGAACAAGAAACCGGGCCTTCTTGGCAGTGGGCCCTCGCCTTTGGAATAGTCTCTCCCCCCCCCCAAGATCCGCCTGGCCCCCTCGTTGGGTGCTTTTAAGAGCCAACTCAAGACCTGGCTATTTAGGCAGGCCTTCCCTCCTGTCACCGCTTGGTTTCTATTTTCCCATCTTGAATGATATTGCTATTTGTTGTTAAATTGTTGTTTGATATTTTAGATTGTTTTTAGTCTTTTTTATTGTTAGCTGCCAAGAGTAGACATTGTCTAAATGGGCAGGATATAAATTTAATAAATTTAATAAATTTAATAAATAAATAAATAAATAAATAAATAAATAAATAAATAAATAAATAAATAAATAAATGTTCAGTTGTCATTTATTTTTTTTTCCATAATTATTGTCTTTTCCAATGACTCTTGTCTCCTCAAGATTAGCTCATAAATTATGAGCTTTCCTTTCAGTCATTTTTATTTCTATGAAAAGTTCAAGCTTAATTTGATTTACTTGTTTTTCTGGCAGGCCGTAGTATCTATAAAGTTTGCCTCCAACACCTATTTTCAAATAAGTTTAAAGAAACTGGCAGTTAATGATAGGAACTTTCATTTGCTGTTACTATGTGCTATCAAATATCCTCGACTTACAGTAACCCCATCAATGAGGGATCTCCAAAATGTCCAGTCCTTAACAGGTCAGTTCTTGTAAATTCACACCTGTAGTTTCCTTTAACAAGTCAATCTATCTTATACTTGTTCTTCCTTTTTTCCTGCTGTCTCCCACCTTTCTCAGTATTACTGCTTTTACCACAGAATCATACCTTCCTGTAATGTGCCCATAGCAGAACAAATTAAGTTTCAATATTTTTGGTCTCTAGGGATAGTTCTGGGGAATCTCTGATCAAGATACCCTCCAGGATGGAAGAAAAACTCTGCCTGCTGAAAGACAGTTCAATATCCTTCAATATAGCTCAGTTATATTAAAGTGCTTGAACCATCCTATATGTTTTAGACTAAGGGCGCATGGCTTTTGAAAGTTTGGATTGGACTTTTAACAAAGTGCTAAATATTATTTAACTGACAACTATGAATCCAATGAGATTTAAGTAGATATAGCCATTTTAGCTCCCCCCCCCCATGACTGCAATGAGTGACTGCTTCTTGGTGGAAGTGACAGCAGCACATGAGTAAAACATTTTAGACAGTAAGCAGTTTGGGGCAGGGCTTTCCCCCCCTTTTAAATTGCAAAGTGCCATGAACTTCAATAGTGTTACATAAGTAATTTTCAATAATAGTTAACTAAATGTTTAATAGCTACAGAACAAATATAAGTCAATTCAAGCAAACTCACTCTTGTCCCTTTTGTCCCCGGTAGTCCTGGTTCTCCAGTGTCACCCTGTTTAAAAAGTGATAAATAATTTGTTTTTTATTTTAAAATAATGTAGCATGTCAGTTTAACTTTTCAGAGGTGCACAGTTAATCTTACCTTCAGTCCTGAGGTTCCTGGGGGTCCTTCAGGTCCTTGTACTCCAGGAAACCCAACCAAACCTGGCAAACCTGGCAAGCCTCTCTCACCCTGTGAAGATCGAGCAACATCTTATTTAGAAAAATACAAAGAAAGAAAACCCCATGGACACTGATGCGAATTTCTCACTTAATGGCTGAAGGAAGAAGGATTTTTCTTGGTGGAGGAGAAGTGTTAAATTATCTTAACGTTAGGAGTCTGCAATGCATTTAGTCCCTTGTTTCTCTGGCTGGGATGTTAATAGGAGCTGGAGAATGTTGCCTCCTTTCAGGGAAGCATTTAGAAGCCTTTCAGACCAAGTGCTTCACCAGGATCCATTAATCAAGGTAGGTGCAGGAATTTGTGGCTTTGTGTTCTCCTGCTACTGCTATATCATGTCCTCTCAGGCTTCAGAACAATCTTACTTGCAAGTGGCCCATTAGTTTTAATGATTAATTAAGGCCAATAAGGATTTCCATATATGATATGCTTCATTAATACATTTCCTTGTATTCAGTTCCTGTTTTGATTTTACTTATTTTATTATTTAACTCTTATGTATCTGTTTCTGACAGTATATTATTTGAATATTTGTTGTACAATTTTAAACAAGTATGATCTTTAGTTACAATATCTTAGTTTCTTTTCACATATTTTGCATTGCTTTGTTATATTTTATGTCTATTTACACATTTTGAAAAAGTAACAAGAACAAAGATTTCTAATTCCCATGTGTTATCTGTTATCTCTGTGCATGTATGCACTGACAATATGGCCTTACTGTCGGCCCACATGCTTGCTGGATTTCCTTTCAGGATCTAGTCCCAGGAACTCATTCCACTTACATTTTTGCTTCCCACTTTTGCCACAGCTAAGCTTCTTTCTTCAAACAAACACATATTACATGTTTGTGGATTTATGATAGCATGTACTAGCTAGGGTAATCCAAGAGAAAATGGATAATCAAAAACTATATAAAATAATAAAAAATAGCCTGTTTATGAATCTTAATAGAAACACACTTCTATATTTCACCACAAGAGTGCAACCTTAGAACAGATTTCTAAGCTTTAAATAATGTTAGTCTGTTTTTCCTTAATTAAACCCATTTCATACAGAGTTTGCTGCTTGAATCAATCTGTAAATGGATTATCACTATTCGTACTATACTAATAAAAAACTATCACTGAAATTCTGTTTGTGTAGCTTAATCCATGAAATTTTTTTGGGAAATGAAATATGTTCTCTTTTTATCTGTAGGCTCTAGTGTAATTCCTTTTACCACCAGAATCCACAGGAGCTGCAGGACTGAAGGAGGAAATCTTTAATTGCTGCTGGAGGCAATTTTCGGTAATCAAAGACTTCCTTCTCCTACTCTGTGGCCTCATGGTTCCAGATGGTGAAAGGGATTACACCGAAGTAGTGGGTACCTTTGGATCAAAGTAAGTGGTCAAATTTGAATTCAGCACACTTTAGAGGAGCTGTGCCTCCGTTACAACATCTCCTGAATCTGTTCAAATCAGCCTGATTCACTTCTGAACAGGAACCATCTGAATCAGAAACCGAAGCCTAATATAAGAATGACTTTACTTAGTTCTGAAATATAAAAGTTCTGAAGTATAAAATAACAGTTTATCATAGGAATCTAATTTTGTTCCAGTGAATAAAGTTAACACTAGTAGGGGAAATGAGACTACATACACACTCACTTTTTGCCCCTTTACTCCACTGCAGTCACATTTTCCACAGCCAGAGCAAGCCTGAAATGTAAACAAAAGAAAGAAAATCCTTGAGCGTGGTAACATGAACAACTACTACTGGTAGTTTGAAAATACTTGATAAACTGCTGGATAAAAAAGCAGTATTTTGCAAACAGTCTCCTTTCTTGGTGAAGAAACAGATGCATCAAAATTAAACAGCTACAACTATATCTGTGTTGAAGCCATTTCAACAATATTTTCTTTTTCTTTTTCTTAAAAATAAAATATTTTTTAAAATATAAAATCTGGGTTTTTAATTTTTGTTAATGAATAAGTAGGCACCAAAGATCTGTCAGTGCAAATCAGGTACTGAGATTACTCAAAACACTTAATCTCAGTACCTGACTTGCACTGACAGATCTTTGGTGCCTACTTATTCATTAACAAAAATTTAAAGCCCAGATTTTAATTTTTAAAAAAATATATTTTATTTTTAACAAAGGGTAAGAGGAAGGAAAAAGGGATTGAGGTTAAGGCGAAGAGGAGAAACAATGACATACTAACATCCATTCTATACATATTGCCATATCAAAATTCCAAATCTGCCTTCCAGATTTAAGTTCTCATTTTAATGAATGTTCTTCAAACAATGTCTGATGACTCAAACCATTTGTAGAATAAGTCCCATCTTTCAGTTGCCTTTTGTAGAGGGGACAGTCCTTCATCACTTCTGATAAAATGGCCATTTCTGCTGTTTCCCGTATCTTCTCTGTAAGATCTTCTTGTTTCGGTTCTGTCTGACTTTTCCAATTTTTGGCATAAAGAATTCTAGCTGCAGTGACTATGTATATAACTATATACTTCTTTGCCTTATCTATATTATCAGATATCATACTCAATAAAAACAGTTCTGGGGTTAATGGAACCTTAAAAAACAATATTTGTTGCAGCACAGCATGTACTGTTTTCCAATACTGTTTCGCTACTCTACATGACCAACAATATGATAATAACTTCCCACATGTGCTTCACATTTCCAACACACATTTGATACATCTGTATACATCTTCGACAATTGTTCTGGAGTCATATGCCACCTGTAAAACATCTTATATATATTCTCTTTAAATTTAACCAATCTTGTAAGCTTTATAGTATTTTGGCATATTTCCAACCATTGATCAATATCAATATGATGCCCTATGTTTTGTGCCCACTCAATCATACGTTCTTTAACCATCTCTTCTTGCATTTTGATTACTAACAGATAATTATACATTTTCTTAACTATTTTATCTTTTGAACGTAATAAAAGCTTATCAAATGTCGTTTGTTCTGAATAAAAACCTTCTATTTTGTCTTTTGTATATCTAGATTCCAGCTATGCTCTGGACCACCAGTCTATGTAAATGTTCTGTGTCTCTAACTCTTCTTTAGACCTTAATTCACAATCCTTTTTTAATAAATCTTGATATCTTAAAAGTTTTGCTTTCGTCATAAGATTAGGTGATTCCCATATACTGGTGTTTTTTGGTAAATTTGTTGTATAATCTTTTTCCATGTTCCCAACAAAGCTCTTCTTATCATATGTAAATTAAAATGCTTTTGCTCTTTATCCTTTTTATACCACAAATAAGAGTGCCAGCCTAGCTGCAAATCATGTCCTTCCAAATTGAGTAATCTATCATTTTCCAAAGTTATCCATTCTTTTATCCAATCTAGAATACAAGATCGATAATACAGAACCCAATCTGGAAGACCAAAACCTGCCCTCTGTTTGGCATCTTGCATTGCTTTAATTTTAATTCCTGTTTTTTTTACCTTGCCATACAAATCTCATAGTTATCTTATTAAGTTCTTGGAAAAAGGTCTATTTGAATATGATAGGGATTGTCTGAAATAAGAATAGAATTTTTGGCAAGACACTCATTTTAATCATCGCAATTCTTCCCAACAACGATAATTATAGCTTATCCCATTTCTACAAATTGTTCTGTATCTCTTTAATCAATTTCATATAATTATCTTTAAGTAATATACTCGTCTTCTTTGTAATTTAGATCCCTAAATATCTAATTCTCTTTTCCTCTTGGAAGTTCATCTTCTCTACTAACCTCTTGTTCTCTTATATTTTTAATAAGTATTTTTGTTTTCTTTTGGTTTATTCTCATTCCTGCCATATCACCAAAATTTATCAATGTCTCCATCAGGTCTTCTATTGAATGCAATGTATCTTCTAGTACAATGACTAAATCATCTGCAAAAGCCTGAAGTTTATAAATTTGACCTTTTACTTTCAATCCTTTCAATTCCTTTTTATTTCTGATTTGTTCGGTTAATATTTCTAGAGTCAGAATGAATAGTAGTGGCAAGAGTGGACACCCCTGTCTGGTACCTTTCTGTATTTGTATTTCTTTCGACAACTCGCCATTAATTCTCACTTTTGCCTTTTGTTGAGTATACAGTGGTGCCTCACTTAACGGCGATAATCAGTTCCAGGAAAATCGCCGTTAAGCGAAAACATCGTAAAGCGAAAAAAACCCATTGAAATGCATTGAAACCCCTTCAATGCATTCCAATAGGGTCAAAACTCACTGTCCAGCGAGGATCCTCCACAGGGCAGTTGTTTTCGCTGCCTGTCTTGCAAGGAATCCATCCCAGAAAACAGCGGGGAGCCATTTTCTTTACCCGGTGGCCATTTTGAAACCACTGATCAGCTGTTTTAAAATCGTCTTTTTGCGAAGAATCGGTTCCCGAAGCAGGGAACCGATCATTGCAAAGCGAAAAAACCCCATTTAGACCATCGTTTTGCGATCGCAAAAAGATCATCGCAATGCAGTTTCGTCGTAATGCGGGGCAATCGTAAGGCAAGGCACGACAGTAAATTGCTTTAATTAGCTTCAAAAATCTTTCTCCAACGTGCAGTGCATCCAGCAAATACAACATAAAATTCCAATCTAGATTATCAAAGGCTTTCTCCACATCCAAGAATATCATGGCCATCTGTTTTTCCGGGTGTGCTTCATAATATTCCAGGGAGTTTAGGACTATCCTTATATTATTTTTCATCTGTCTTTTTGGAAGAAACCCAGACTGATCTTGATGTATTAACTGGATTAAAATTCTTTTCATTCTGGTTGCCAGGATGGTCACATATATTTTATAATCCACATTCAACAATGAAATCGGTCTGTAATTTTGGATTTCTTTACCCTCTGTATTTTCCTTGTGGTAAGGGAAATTATCGCTTCAGTCCATGTTGTTGATATTCTTCCCTCTTCTTCAACACATTCTAAAAGCTTCTTAAATTGATTAATTAATACATCTTCCAATTCTTTATAATATTCTGCTGGTAACCCATCTGGGCCTGCTGCTTTCCCAGTT